GTACAATGGAATCAGATCTAGTAGGGCTCCCTGCCACCATCCAGGCAAAGGAGAAATATTATTCAAGAATTTTGAAAGCTAAGTCAATAGAATGTGTCTGAGCAGAGCCTGCGTACAAGGCTTTTGAGCCAAGTGGAAGGGTTGGCTCATGCTTCACAGGCATGAGTTGATTATGCCCCCGCAGAGAATGCTGGGTGTGTGCAAACTCTGGGGAGACTGGCTTACTTGCCAAGCTACTTGTTTCCACTTATGCAATAAAATTATCTTCCACAAGTCTGAAATTTTTACCCCTTACTCGAGAACTTCTCATGTTTGAGATGAAGACCACATGGGGGAGTTTGGAAAAAGCAAAGTCTTTTCTTATTGTTCAAACCTCTCAACTTCTCCATCCATCCTGCTCCACCTCCCTCCAACACACACCTTATGCTTTGTTGCCCTCTCTCCACTCCTGGGCCAGAATCTGCAAAGAGACACTCCCAAAGGAGTGGGGCGGGAGAATGATCCTTGGTGCTAGTGAGGGCCTCTTCACTCTTCCTAACGTCTTTACAGACAGCTAGTAAAGAGTCGTGCATATCTTTTTCATCCCTATACTCAGCAGGTACTTGTTGTTGTATGCATGTGATGAAGACTTCATAATCAAACACAGTCAACTGGAAACAGCATAGAAACTGTGAGGAATCATAGTGCCCTGTTAGAACTGTAACACGTGTAACATGGCCTTAGGGTATTCTTTCCAAGGTAATGTTTCAGAAATGGGATGAATGCCTAAGAAAGCTGCCTCCTGTGCCCATACATTAACAATTGTCATTTGATCCCCAGTAGTGTACCAAATTCCTCTTCCTTTTTAGGAACTTCATCCCCCACTGTTATTGACTATTCAGGGCTTAGTCATGTTATCCCAGCCTCTGGGCTGGCCTGGACAGCATGTGGTTTTGCTAAAAGAGTTCCAGGAGCTCCTGTTTGCATAGACAGGCCCTGCTCAGCATTTAGACAGCCAGACTCACCCTGGTCCCCAAATATATCACTCTGATCCTGACTCTGTCCACATTTTGAATTCTATAATCCCCTCACTTGGAATCTCTTCCTCAACCTCTTTACCTGTCCAAACCAGACAGCCCTACCTCTTCTATGCCTCATGGACCTTTTATTCCGATCTCTATTTCAGCACAAAACAGCATTTGAAGACAGTGTTCCTTATTCAGCTTTGTATCTGCAGAGCCTAGAGAATTTCAGAGTTGTTGTTGTTGTTGTGAAGTGCCGTTGAGTCGGTTCCGACCCATAGCGACTCTATATAGGGTTTCGGAGGAGCAGCTGGTGAACTTGAACTGCTGACCTTGCATTTCAAATGGCTTTGCAGTCTGGTGCATTAACCCACAGTGCCACACCAGAGTATATCATGTGAAGTCAGTATATGTTGGTTGAATTGAAGGCAGAGTTTCCATTCACTATCTGACAAGTATTTAGTGAGCCACAAACTATCCTAAAGCTAGTTAATACCAACTCACTGTTTCCCCATGAGTGTCAGAGTAGAACTGTGCTCTACGAGTTTCCAATGACTGATTTTTTGGAGATAGATTATCAGGCCTCTTCCCCAAGGTTCCTTTATACAAAGCTGTGTGATACTTTCTCTAGAATCTCCTTTTCTAAGAATTCTTATGGCTACTACTGAGTGCTCAGATTCTGCAATGACTATTATTGTTGTTGTTAGGTGCCATCGTGTCTGTACTGACCATAGCGACCTTATGCACAGCAGAACAAAACACTGCCCGATCCTGGGCCAACCTCACTACTATTGCCACACTTGAGTCCATCGATGCTGCCACTTGGTCAATCCATCTCTCTGCGGGTCTTCCTCTTTTTCTCTGACCCTCCACCCTACCAAACATGATATCCTTCTCCAGCAACTGGTCCCTCCTGACAATCTGTCTGAAGTATGAGAGACGAAGTTTGGCCATCCTGGCCTCCAAGGAGCACTCTGGCTGCATTTCTTCCAAACAGATCTGTTGGTTCTTTTGGCAGCCCATGGCACTCTCAACAGTCTCTGAAGGTCCAAAATACTCCATGTATCCAGACATCACACCTGGGAGGGAAGACATCATTTAAGTCAAATTCATAATCTTATTGAGTCTCTGGCTATGTAGGATAAGCACAAGACTGGGAATCACAAGGTCAGTGGTTTGAATCTACCAGTTACTCACTGGGAAAAGGATGAGCCTTTCTGCTCTGAAAAAAATTGACAGCCTAGGAAACCCTGTAATCCAATTCTCAAATCCTATATTGTGTTGCTGTAGGATAAGCACTAGACTGCCACCACAAGGTCAACAGTTCAAACCCACCAGCTGTTCCTGGAAACCCATGCAGGGTCACTATGTATCAGAACTAACTCAATGACACAAAAGCAACAGCTGGGTGATGCTCAGTGTTTGAGTTCAACTACTAACAAAAGGATGGAGATTTGAACCTTCCCACTGGTACCACAGAAGAAAAGCCTGGCAATCTGCTTCAGTAATGATTACAATCAAGAAAACCCTATGGAACAGTTCTGTGCTGCAACACAAGTTGCATGAGTCAGAATCTACTCAACAGCAATGGTGTAAGTTTTGATTAAATAAGAGCTGAAAATGAATACGTCCTACAAGAGCCAGAAGTATAAGGTGCTTGTAAGCCCAGAAAGGGGGCTTCTAGCTTGGTTTTGAAGGGCTGACATGTGAGGGAAATTTGAAGCATAACAAATCATCGAGGTGAAGAGTGAGAGAAGAGTTTTCAGGGCATGAGCTAGATGTGGGCTTGTGCAGCTGGGATATAGCAGCATCAGGAGAGAGGAGGCTGCACAGCAATGGTACTCAGACCTTTGCATTTTGAAATACACCTAATAATAAGTTACTTTAGATTATAGTTACAGCATAGCGTTGATAATTAAAGTGCTGTGTGCAGTTGAGTTGTATTATTTACAGGTGTTATTTCAGAACAATAGCTGGGGCACTATATAATATCTGTTATAAGAAAGGGGCACTATGTCTCAAAGGTTGAGATCCACTTTTAGTGGTGATCAGGAATCTTTGTAAAATTTTAAGATTGGCAACATGATTCCATTTTTGTTAGAAAGACTTTTTTCTGGTGGAACTGTAGGAATAGAATCTGAAGACACTGTGATTGGAAGCAGAAAGTCTGGTCTGCTGGCAATTGTACTAATTTATGTGGGAAATATTGGTGCCCTGAACTCTGCAATGAGAATATGAACAGAGTGGAGGGTACTGACTGAAGACATTTTAAAAGATAATACTGAGAGGAAAAGTTCCAAGACAGGGTTGTGGCTTCTGGCTTGGGAAAAAGGTTGCCCTCTGTGGGAGAAGAAACATAGGAAGATGACCATTTGGGGATGAGGCCTTTGGAGGCTGTGATGTCTGGATGTTGTTGTTATTGTCAAGTGCCATCGAGTCAGTTCCAACTCACAGCTGGTGGGTTTGAACCATTGACCATTCAGTTAACAGTCCAGTGCTTATCCTACAGTACCTCACACCAGGACTCCAAACAGGGAGTCAAAAATGTTCTGAAGCTGAGAAATTTCCCAAATTCTTACACCTCACCTTGCTGACATTGCCATGGAAACAGGGCCAGAGCAGTGTTTATAAAGCACAATTTACTCTAAATCACAGCTCTGTTCTGCCCTTGGGGTTTCTGTTTCTTGAAACCAACTGTACATAGATAATTCTTCAGAAGAGTCCAGTGCCCAAGGCAAAATGGTCTCTGCTGATTTATCTAGACCTCTGTTTATCTTAAGTATGACTTTCAGGAGATCAAGTTCTTCAAGACTCAAGGGGCAAAAGGAATGGCCTGGGAGGGTTAAACCTCCAGAAATCTATAATCGAGGAGAACTAAAACTGTTTCCTACCATCACCTAAATGACATTTTGTACATAACCAAATGCCATTATCATGCCTAACAAAGTTAATATTAATTAAAAAATATTATCTACTGGAGGACATAATGCTGGGTGAAATTGGTCAATCACTAAAGGACAAATATTGTATAAGACCAATGTTATAAAAAGTTTTAAAAACTGTTTCCTTGATAAAAGAACAATCTATGATAGTTAAGGGGTGTGGAGGGGAATTTCTTCATGGTCTAGAGGATAGACACATATTAACATGAGTGAAAATGAATAGAGGTAAATACTGTTAACTGTTGGTACATAGAGGGGATTATATTACAATCATGTAATGAAGCAAATCATATGATTTTTTGGATGTAAAAATGATGGTCTACCTTTAGACCTTCACTCAAGTCACAAAAAGTTGAAAAAAAGGATCTAAAATTCTGTCTATATTAAAATTCCCCAATTGTCATAAATGTATTTTCATGGTTCATTATAATTAGGATCAACTCAAAGTCTTCACACTGCAATAAATACTTATGCTAAGTATCGTCTACTCCAAAGTGGTCTTCCCACCCTAACCCTGGCCTTTCTCTTCATTAAGATTAATTAAGATGAAATTAATCTTATCTTTGACTCTGAAGAAACAGGGTTAAATGTGCCATAGTTTCTGAATGTCTGGTATTTTTGTGTGGTGTCATTTAAATTGTTACTCTATCCACTATTCCCTAATGGAAGATAGATTTTTAAAAACCCTTCACTAGATTCAGGTATAACTCTTTTGACAAGAACACTACCTAGGTGGGGCTACGTATTTCATATCACATATGTTTGATGATCTCACTTTTTAACCTAAAATGAACTGGTTTCTTTAATGGCTACAAATTAGGCTTATCATTGCCAAGTTTCCCATCAAATACCCTAATGGTTTAAGGATTGTGGAGTACTAAATTCTAATTCATCATTCCATCTGAATTTATTAGCTGGTATTCTTTTAATTTGAAAAGTCAGCCGTTGGAAACCCTATGGAGCACAGTCAGAATTTAATAGTGGTAGTAGTGTATTCTTCCGTAAAGAAGTTATTATAATAATTACTTCTTTCTCTTCTTCTTACTTTCTCCACTAGTACATACATTGTTCATCAAGGAAAGGACCTTCCAGGCTATTACCCCGGGCAGTTGGCAAGACTCCATTTTGATTATAGTGCAAAGAGATCTCCAAGGTGAGACACACTCTCAAATTTTAATTTCCAAGGATTTGACCAAGCTAAAATGGGAACCATTTCGAGCAGGCAAATGCATAGTGACAAAATTTATTAGTAATTATCAGGGGCTGAAGGTGGGGGCCTGGTATGGCACTGTAGGATAAGCACTGGACCATTAACTACAAGGTTGGAGTTTAAAACCCATCAGACACTTCTCAAAAACCCTACACAGGTCACTGTGAGTCAGAACCGACTCCATGGCACTTCTTAACAACCAGGGATAGGTGGGGAGTAGGGGATTCTGGGAGGTTTTGCCTTAACTGAATTTCTGTTGAGGATAATGAAAAAAATTGGAAATGGATAATTGAGATGGTTGCCCTAAATGGTGAAGATAATGATGTCATTGAATTGTAAAAATGGCATCTGATCTCCTCTAACTTCACAAGGGGGAAGAAGAAGACTCACCATCAGATTCAGGCCAAGGCTGGTTCCTATGAAACAGTAAGCCATGCCTCCCCCTCCAACTTTTTACCAGTTCTGACAGCAACTGCCCCACCACCACCTCCCATGGCACTCTATTTCTCTGCTGACTTTTATAATTCCTTGCAGTAGTCATACAGAACTCATAGATCATACACATGCTTATGGGGTTTATTAAGGAAGTTGTTGTTATTAGGTGCCATTGAGTCAGTTCCGACTCGTAGCCACCGTATGCATGACAGAACGAAACACTGCCTGGTCCTGCGCCATTCCACAATTACTATGTTTGAGCCCATTGTTGCTGCCACTGTGTCAGTCCATCTGATTGGTGGTCTTCCTCTTTTTTTGCTAACACTCCACTTTCCCAAGCATGATGCCCTTTTCCAAGGACTGGTTCCTCCTGATAACAAGTCCAAAGAACAAGACTTCATCTTACTATCTATGCTGCTAAGTAGCATTCTGGTTGTACTTCTACTAAGACAGACATGTTTGCTCTTTTGACAGTCCATGGTACTTTTGGTATGTTCCTCAACACCATAATTCATCAACTGCATCAGTCTTCTATGGTATTCCTTATTCATTGTCCAATTTTTACATACATATGAGTCCATTGAAAAGTCCATGCCTTTAGTCCTCAAATTTCCTAATTGCTGCTTCCATGAGTTTTGATGGTGGATCTAAGCAAAATGAAGTCTTTGACACTTCAATCTTTTCTCTATTTATCATTATGCTATTTATCATGTTGTGAGGATTTTTATTTTCTTTACATTGAGGGGCAATCCAAATTGAAGGCTGTAATCTTTTATCTTCATCAATAAGTATTAAAAGTCCTCTTCACTTCCAGCAAGCAAGGTTGTGTCATCTGTATATCACAGTTGGTTAATGAATCTTCCTCCAATACTGATGCCACATTCTTCTTCATGTAATTCAGCTTCTTAGAATATTTGCTCAGCATACAGATTAAACAAGTATGGTGAAAGAATACAAACCTGGCACTCATCTTTCCTAATTTTAAACCATTCAGTATCCCCTTGTTCTACTGGAACAACTGTCTCTTGGTCTATGTACAAGTTCCTCCTGAGCATAATTGTCTTCTGGAATACCCATTCTTGGCAATGTTCTCCATAGTTTCTTATGATCCACACAATTGAATGCCTTTGCAGTCAACAAAACACGAGTAAACATCTACCCGGTATTCTCTGCTTTCAGTCAAGATCCATTTGACGTCAGCAATGATATCCTTTATTACACATCTTTTTCTGAATCCAGTGGATTTCTAACAGCTCTCTGTCATTATGTACTGCTGCAAATGTTTTTTAATTATCTTCCAAAATTTTACTTGTATGTGATATTAATGATATCATTTAATGATTTCCATATTCTGTTGGCTCACCTTTCTTTGGAATGGGCATAAGTATGGATCTTTTGCAATTGGTTCTCCAGGTAGCTGTCTTCCAAATTTATTGGCATAGTGAGCCCCTCCCAGCATTGCTCACTAACAGTTTGTTGAAATATTTCAATTTGTATTTCATCAATTCCTGTAGCCTTGTTTTTTGTAAATGCCTTCAGCAGCTTGAACTTCTTCCTTCAGTACCACTGGTTCTTGATCAAATGCCACTTGTTGAAATGGTTGAACATCAACCAATTTGTTGAATATTTAACCAACTCTGTGTATTCCTTCTATTTTTCTTTTTTGATGCTTCATGCATCATTCAATATTTTGCCCATATTGTTGCTGTTGTTAAGTGCCATTGAGTCCATTCCAACTCACAGTGAA